CCGCCACCACTCCCACCGCCACCCCCACTCCCTCCACCGCCTCCACCGCCACCTCCACCACCCCCGCTAGCTCCACCCGCGCCCTTGCCCCCCTTGCCCTTACCAGAGCGGCGTCTCCCGCTAGGGGCAGACGCCGCACCGACCGACTCAAGACCAACGAGGTCGGCTGCAGCAGCAGAGGCGACAGAGGGCAACAGGGGGGAAGGGGAACACCCCTCAAAGATGGGGGTGCGAGGGTCACCACGAGAGGCTCCTACAGCGACTATGCTCTTCTCCGCTGCTAGGAGGGCCTTCTCTAGGAGGCCAACAGTGAAAGTGGTTGGACAGACTGAGAGGAAGTGGTCCCTGACTATGCGAAGGGAGTTAGGGAGGCGGGTGACTATATAATAGAGAGTGATGTACATGGGGGGGGGGGGTTCTGGGCGCAGAACTTAGCAGGAAGCGCGGCGCGGTAGCGAGTGTCACTAGTGCGGAGGTGCGTAGTGAGGTGAGCGACTGTGGGAAAGGCAGCAAGGTCAGGGAAGAGGTACGGTAGCATGAGGCGGCTCAGTGCAGCAATGGCAGGGGAAGAGTAGCGCGCAACTACACCGTCGTACAAAGTCTGAGCACTCTTGTACTGACTAAAGTGCGCACGCTCAGTGGTAGGCTGGTGGCGACGCACAGCAAGACGTGCAGCAGCATCGCGCGTGGCCCACTGGGAGCAAACAGTAGGGTCAGCATTAGCAGCAGGGGCAGGAGAGGCGCCAGAGGTGAGGTCAAAGAGGGAGAGACCGTCTGCCCTATCGCACTATAGGAAAAGCTGCAGGTAATCTACCGAAACCTCAAAGTCAATGGCTCAACCCTCAGCGTCAAAAGCGAGAACACTGGAGGTAGCCATGACAGCAGTAGACTAGCAGTACCAACTGTAGGACAGGGGCAGTGCAGTGACAGAAGCGCTGCTCTCACCGGACAGGGCGGGTCGGGCAGCTCAGCAGTACAACAACACGGCAACACGGCTGCTCGGAAGGCTCAGCAGCAACTGCGGCTCCGTGGTGCCAGCGGCTCGGCTCCTCAGGCGGCTCGGGCGGCTCAGGCGGCTCGGACGTCTTGGGCGGCTCGGGCGGCTTGGGCTGGTTGGGCGGCTCGGGCGGCTCAGGAGAGTCGGGCGGCTCGGGCGGCTCGGGCAGCTCGGGCAGGTCGGACGGCTCGGGCGGCTCGGGCGGTTCGGGCGGCTCGGGCGGCGCTGGCGGTGTAGGGCGGCAGGGCCGCTGGTGCGAGGGGCGGCGGGGCCGCTGAGAAGGGCGGCGGGGCCGCAGTTGAAGGGCGGCGGGGCCGCTGAGTAGGGCGGCGGGGCCGCAGGAGAAGGGTGGCGGGGCCGCTGATTAGGGCGGCGGGGCCGTTGAGCAGGGCGGCGGGGTCGCTGAGTAGAGCGGCGGGGCCGCTGAGTAGAAGGGCGGCGGGGCCGCTGAGTAGGGCGGCGGGGCCGCAGCGAGGGAGGCAGCGGGGCCGCAGCGAAGGGCGGCGGGGCCGTTGAGATGGGTGGCGGGGCCGCAATGTGGGGCGACGGGGCCGCCGAGAAGGGCGGGGCCGCAGCGACGGGCGGCGGGGCCGCGGAGACGGGCGGCGGGGCCGCAATGCGGGGCAACGGGGCCGCTGAGAAGGGCGGGGCTGCAGCGACGGGCGGTGGGGCCGCTAAGTAGGGCGGGGCCCGCTGAGAAGGGCGGCGGGGCCGCTGAGACGGGCGGCGGGGCCGCACTAAAGGGCGGCGGGGCCGAATCGACGGGCTGCGGGGCCGCTAGGGGAAGGGGTCGCTAGGGCAATAGGGCCGCTAGGGCGTAGGGGCCGCTAGGGCGGCTCGGCGAGGTGAGAGCCTGGAGCGCGACTCGGGCGGAGCGCGCTTCGGGCAGGAGAGAAAAAAAATGAAACTCGATGTGGTGGGCCCTAGGCACAGTTCCCAAGGGGGGAACCTGCTCGATACCATGAGGAAAGTAGAACGAGAATGAGTTGACTAAGGAATGGGAGTGATACAAATATGCAACCCTAGAAATGTGTACCCCATATAGACTACCCCACTATAGCCTACACAATATTATAATTTGACACCACCATCCAGACACCCTCCCTGGTTAGTGTTTGCATTTAAAACAGCGTATCTTCCTCTAACCGTTAGTGGTGCCGTGCCTTAACTGGACTCTTTTTTGTGATAACCGATGTCCCACACCCTACCCTACCCTCACCCTCAGGTGTCGACTGGGGCAAAGCCGCCAAGGAGCTCACCAGCTTCACCACCATCCTCTCCACTCACCACGAAGACCTGTCCTTCCACGACAGCATGTCGTAGATGCTCTCAACGCCGGATTGGGAGTCAGCCTATCCGAACCTCGGCCGCCTGTGGATAGCTGTTGCTGTGCTACCGCTCAGCACTGTTGAGTGTGAGCGCGGCTTCAGCCTCCAGAACATCATCAAAAGTTGGGTGCGCGGCAGCTTGTGCGACACGACACTGGGCGACCTGATGACGGTGTCTCTTCTGGATTACGAGCTGAACACAGAGGAGCTGGTGGATAGGTGGAATGCTAGCAAGAAGAGGCGGCCGGCTCGTGAGGTGGTTATGGCTGAAGGATCACGCCCGGTGAAGCGACGGCGGTCCCATCACCTGAAGAAACGCGCTGCAGCATCAGCAGCATCAGCAGAAGCAGCTACACGCGCATGGAAAGAGGCAGAAGAGGCTGCAACAAGGGAGAGAGAGAGGGCTGCAGAAGAAGCTGCATGGGAACTGCCTACCTGGAGGAAGGGCAAACCCAGAGCCACAATTGTTGAAACCTCTGAGAGTGGCAGTGGTAGTGATGACAGTGGCAGTGGTAGTGATGACAGTGAAAGCAGTAATGCTAGTGATTCCTCTTAGAATTGAATAGGATGTCGGTAGATTCTTTTACCGTAAGTCTAGGAACTAGGTAGGCTAGGAAATTTGCTAGCTACCGTATAAAATTTACTACGGTATCTAATTCCGTCTGGCGGCTCTGACAAGTGTTTTTGATTCGTCTGAAACGTAAGACTAGGCTAAAACTTTCATCTGAACATCAGACAAGGCTCCAGGACCCGGTCTTAACGTCAGACGGGCCCTGGCACTAAAGTAAGCCCAGACAACGAGTGCTGTTTTCAGTCAGGGAAGGGAATGCTATGCAGTGCGGTTTGCAGCACTAAAAGGCAGGTAGGGTAGAAGAACCTGGATGTAGGAGTGGAGAGCTACCGGTATTCAGTTATACGGGACATGTTTAACCGTGAGGAAGTTGAATGTAAGGCTCCTACTGTTTATATAACAAAAATCATGACCCATCTTTTAAGGGTGTCTAAAGGCCTCAATATCCTACACCGAAGTCAATGTACCTTGCACTTGACGTGCCTTGAAAAAAAAACAGCTCCACAACTGCACAATAGCAGGTCACCAATACCGTATGTAGCACGTTTAGGACCATGTAGTTTAGCCGGCGTCTCTGGTCTCTTGTATCGCACCGGAAGCACCTAAAAACGAATGCTTCCAATTCCAACCCTATTTCCCCACGCACAAAATTACTCAGGGTTCTGGACTTCGGGTTTTCCCTTTCCACCTTCGGGTTTCCCGTTGCTCCGCTTAGAAACAACTGACAGTCGGATTAGTCGTTTTCCACGATTTTTTCGCGTGCAAGTAACCGTAATCTCAATACTTGTTGCGACTATGGCCTTTTCTCCCGCTGCGACCCGTTCCGTAGGGAGGGGCAAAGAGTGGCCGAAGAGAGGCGGAGCAGGCGGTTCGCCATACGCGCGGGGAGGGGGGGGAACAGCGGACGAGGGGCGCCGCGAAGGGGAGGAAATTGGCGAAAGGGGTGGTAGTGGGGAGGGGGGGTTGCCGAATAGTGGGCGGAAGGAGGAAGCTGCGGATGGCGCGCGGACGGATCCGGGAACGGAAGGGGGGCGGAAGGAGGCAGCGGGGTGGGAAGCGGGGCGGAGTGACGTGGATCGGAACACGGTTTTCGTGCGCAACGTTTCGTTTAAAGCCACACAGAGCGATGTGGGTGCCTTTCCCAGTGCCGAATGTATCTTTTAGCGCGGACGAATTCCCTCGAGCGCTTCTCGCAGAGGACGGGGCTTTAAGGTTTTATCTCTGCGCATACGCGTGCGTCTCTGTTTTTCGTATTTTCACGAGCCGCTTGACCTTTTGCAAAGCTTTTATAATGTGCAGCGGCAAGAGCACGTTAAGTCGCTAAACCCTGAAACTTCCTGTAAAAGGGTTTTTCTGGGCAGTGGGTGCCATCCGAAAGTGCTTCCTAGTGGCACAGCGATTATCAATACTGAGTGCATTTCCCTCCCCTCCACTCCAAGTGACCTCCTCACCTCACGTCCCTCTTGGCCCCCAAATCCCTCACACCCACCCCCCTCCCCTTCCCTCCTTGCAGCTAGAGTTTTATTTCTCACATGGGTGCAATCTGAAAGTGCTTCCTAGTGGCACAGAGATATTGAGTGCATTTCACTCCACTCCGCTCCTAGTAACCTCCTCACCTCGCGTCCCTCTCCCGCCCCATCCCTCCCACCCCCCTCCCCCTCCCTTGCAGCTGGAAGATTTGTTCTCTACGGTGGGCCCTATACGAAAGTGCTTCCTTGTGGCACAGACAGCCGCAGCACTGAATGTCTTATCCCAGCCTTCTTCCTCCTCCGTCTCATCAAACCCCCCTCCACACCCATTCCCCTCCTCCCCGCAGCTCGAGGGTTTTTTCTCGACGGTGGGCCCTATCCGAAAGTGCTTCCTTGTGGCACAGAGAGGTGCGTCACTACCTCCTTTGTTGATGGAGATAAGTGCCACTTGTACCTCCACTATTGATGGGGATAAGTGCTATTTGTACCTCCACTATTGATGGGGATAAGTGCTATTTGTACCTCCACTATTGATGGGGATAAGTGCTATTTGTACCTCCACTATTGATGGGGATAAGTGCTATTTGTACCTCCTCTATTGATGGGGATAAGTGCTATTTGTACCTCCTCTATTGATGGGGATAAGTGCTATTTGTACCTCCTCTATTGATGGGGTTAGATTCTGTTTGTACTTCCTTGTGTTGAACGTTCGCAGCCCGTCTCCCCTCCCTCACCATTTCTACTGCCCACCCCCCCACCCTCATTGCTTTGCTGCCCGTCCCCTCGCCCTTCCCCTTGTTGCTGCCCATCCCCCCACCCTCATTGCTTTGCTGCCCGTCCCTTCGCCCTTCCCCTTGTTGCTGCCCATCTACCCACCCTCATTGCTTTGCTGCCCGTCCCCTCGCCCTTCCCCTTGTTGCTGCCCATCCCCCCACCCTCGTTGCTTTGCTGCCCGTCCCCTCGCCCTTCCCCTTGTTGCTGCCCATCTACCCACCCTCATTGCTTTGCTGCCCGTCCCCTCGCCCTTCCCCTTGTTGCTGCCCATCCCCCCACCCTCATTGCTTTGCTGCCCGTCCCCTCGCCCTTCCCCTTGTTGCTGCCCATCCCCCTACCCTCATTGTTTTGCTGCCCGTCCCCTCGCCCGTTCCCTTGTTGCTACCCATCTTCCACTTTCCTTGCTGCTGCCCGACCCCTCGCCCTTCCCCTTGTTTGCCCATCTACTCCCCTTTTCCCTTGCTGCTGCCGGTTCCCCTTCCTTCCGCCTTGCTGCTGCCCGCCCCCCCTCCCCCCCCCTTGCTGATAATCGCCCCCACCCCCTCCCCCTTGTTGCTGCTCATATCTCTGGCCTACATTATCTATATTTTGCTCCTCTCCTCTCCTCTCCTCACCTCAACGTCCTCTCATCTGCTCCTCTCATTCGCTCCCCTTCTCTCTTCTCCTCTCATCTCTCCCTTCATCTCCCCTCTCATGTGCTTCAGGCGCGGAGACGCATCGAGGGATGGGATTTGTGCAATAGTGAGTGCACCTCGCTTCTGTTTCTTGTGCCATGCGTGGCTGAATGCTGGTTCTCATGCTTATGCGTCTTGAAAGCTTCTGCTTCTGCATCACGTGGTTCAAAGCCAGTTCTTCAACGTTTATAGTGAATTCTGCCTCTAATAGCGTCTACTGCTCTTTATTCCCTCCTCTTCATCCCAACTCTTCTCTCTTCTACCCCCCACCACACCCGCTTCCCCCCTTTCCTCTCCTCGCAAACCCTCCTCCTCCACCCACAGCGCGCTAGCAGAGGACGCAGAGAGGGCAGTGAGGGAGCTCGGGGAAAGCAGCTGAGAGCGCATATCTTACTTATTAGACAGCTCCTTGCTTCCGCTTGCTCCCCCTGCTATCCTAACCGGTACCCCCCTCTTCCTCCCGCCCCCCCCCCCCCCACCATTACCAGTGCGCTAGCAGAGGACGCGGAGAGGGCAGTGAGGGAGCTCGGGGGAAAGCGGCTGGAGAGCAAGGCAGACCCACTGACCCGTCACGTATCTTACCTGTTAGACAGCTCCTTGCTTCCTCTCCTCTCACACCCCCTTCTAACCAGTAACCCACCCCCCCTCTTCCCACCCCCCCTCTTCCCACCCCCCCTCTTCCCACCCCCCCTCTTCCCACCCCCCCTCTTCCCACCCCCCCTCTTCCCACCCCCCCTCTTCCCACCCCCCCTCTTCCCACCCCCCCTCTTCCCACCCCCCCTCTTCCCCCCCCCCTCTTCCCACCCCCCCTCTTCCCACCCCCCCTCTTCCCACCCCCCTCTTCCCACCCCCCCTCTTCCCACCCCCCCTCTTCCCACCCCCCCTCTTCCCCCCCCCCCTCTTCCCACCCCCCCTCTTCCCCCCCCCCCTCTTCCCACCCCCCCTCTTCCCCCCCCCCCTCTTCCCACCCCCCCTCTTCCCACCCCCCCTCTTCCCCCCCCCCCTCTTCCCACCCCCCCTCTTCCCACCCCCCCTCTTCCCACCCCCCCTCTTCCCACCCCCCCTCTTCCCACCCCCCCTCTTCCCACCCCCCCTCTTCCCACCCCCCCTCTTCCCACCCCCCCTCTTCCCACCCCCCCTCTTCCCACCCCCCCTCTTCCCACCCCCCCTCTTCCCACCCCCCCTCTTCCCACCCCCCCTCTTCCCACCCCCCCTCTTCCCACCCCCCCTCTTCCCACCCCCCCTCTTCCCACCCCCCCTCTTCCCACCCCCCCTCTTACCACCCCCCCTCTTCCCACCCCCCCTCTTACCCGCCACCATCCATCAACGCGCTAGCAGAGGACGCGGAGAGGGCAGTGAGGGATCTCGGGGGAAAGCGGCTGGAGGGGAGATTCTTGTCCTTGCGTTGCCGCCTTCCCCCGTTCATCCCTCACCCTCTACCTCCTCCGATTCCCTCTGTTCCCCCCACATCATCCCCCTCTCCTCTTACCCGCCACCAGTGCGCTAGCAGAGGACGCGGAGAGGGCAGTGAGAGAGCTGGGAGGAAAGCGGCTGGAGGGGCGAGCCCTGGCAGTAGAGCTGGCGAAGAGGAGAGCTTCTTTGGGCGAACGGCTGGCTAAGAGAGGGCCACGCCCGCAAGGTGCGTGTGAAAAGGGAGATGGGATGGGCATTTTCTATTTTGTAGCATTGGGGGCAGCACTGCCTGGCTCTGGCTCTGGGGGAGGCGGCTGGAGGGGCGAGCGACCCCTGGCGTGGAGCTGGCGAAGAAACGTGCGCCACTGGGGGAAAGGCTCGCCAAAAGAGGACCGCGGCCGCAAGGTGAGAGGGCGGCAGGTTCATGAGAGGAGCAGGAGCAGGCAGCTAAGGGGGGAAGGGCGGCTGGAGGGGCGACCCCTGGCTGTGGAGCTGGCGAAGAGGAGAGCTTCTCTGGGCGAAGAGGAGAGCTTCTCTGGGCGAAGAGGAGAGCTGCTCTGGGCGAAGAGGAGAGCTTCTCTGGGCGAAGAGGAGAGCTTCTCTGGGCGAAGAGGAGAGCTTCTCTGGGCGAAGAGGAGAGCTTCTCTGGGCGAAGAGGAGAGCTTCTCTGGGCGAAGAGGAGAGCTTCTCTGGGCGAAGAGGAGAGCTTCTCTGGGCGAACGGCTGGCCAAACGAGGCCCACGCCCACTAGGTGAGCGGGGAATGGCTATGCCCTGGTGTGGTACGCCCCGAGTCTCGTATGGTATGTAGGATCGGAGCATGGCACACAGCTTTTTGAGGCGCCTCAAAAATCGTGAGTGGGGAACGGCTATGCCCTGGTGTGGTGTGCCCCGAGTCCAATGGAGCCTGGTCGGTTGGCCTGGTCAGATAACCGGTTTCGGCTATGCCCTGGTGTGGTGTGCCCCGAGCCTCATCTGTAGGATTGGAGCATGGCATGGCACCCACATACACAGCTGGCGAGCAGGCCTCTGGCAGTGGAGGTGGCGAAGAGGAGAGCTTCTCTGGGCGAACGGCTGGCCAAGAGAGGGCCGCGCCCGCAAGGTGGGTGGGGAAAAGGAGGCAGGTAGGGCATCTATGATGTATCATGGGGGGCAGTACTGCCTGGCCGGCTCTGGCTGGTAGGGAAGGTGGCCGGAGGGGCGACTTTTGGCAGTGGAGCTGGCAAAGAGGAGAGCTTCTTTGGGCGACAGGCTGGCCATGAGAGGGCTGCAAGGTGAGTGAGTGGGTGGCAGGAGCATGTGAGGAGCAGGAGGAGCAGGCGACTAGCAGGGGAAGGGCGGCTGGAGGGGAGACCTTTGGCAGTGGAGTTGGCGAGATGGGCGCCTCTGGGGGACAGGCTGGCTAAGCGAGGGGTGCGACTGCAGGGTGAGTGAGAAGAGCAGGACGACAGCAGCTGGAGAGAGGGCAAGGGCAGGGCTCGAAAAGGACGGCCTGCCTTTGGCACCTTCGTTGAAGGAGCGGCTGGCAAAGGGCTGCAAGTGTAGGTTGAGGAGCAGCACAATGGTTGACTTTTGAGTCGACTCAAAAGTAGGTTGAGGAGCAGCACAATGGTTGCCTTTTGAGTCGACTCAAAAGTAGGTTGAGGAGCAGCACAATGGTTGCCTTTTGAGTCGACTCAAAAGTAGGTTGAGGAGCAGCACAATGGTTGCCTTTTGAGTCGACTCAAAAGTAGGTTGAGGAGAAGCACAATGGTTGCCTTTTGAGTCAACTCAAAAGTAGGTTGAGGAGCAGCACAATGGTTGCCCGCTGTTTTCTTTGGAGTATTCTCGAGAATCGCTCACAAGGAGTGGTGCAATGCGATGGTTGCTAGTTCTCTCCCTTGCATCCAAATCCCCTTTGAGACGTCTGAAAAGAGTTCTGAGTTTTGTGTTTTGGTGCGTCTCAAATTATGATCGCTAGCTCTCTTTCTTGAATCCATCTCCCTCCCTTCTCCTGCTCCGGTTCCCCCCTTGGTCTCTGCAGCCCACCAGGTGGAGGACCAGGATGATTTGACTGGCCTGCACGAGCTGGCTGGGAAGGAGCAACGCGATGGTTCGTCCAACCATGTCTCCCTTGCTCCATGCCTTGCTCCCTTCCCTTTTGCTCCTATCTCTCTGTTGGCCTTTCTTGCAGCCCACCAGGTGGAGCACCAGGATGATCTGACGGGCCTGCACGGGCTGGGAAGGAGCAGCGGTGCTGCTGCTGATCTTGCTGCTGCTTCAGTTCCTTCCTCCCACCCACCCACCCACCTCTCCCTTGGCCTTTCTTGCAGCCCACCAGGTGGAGCACCAGGATGATCTGACGGGCCTGCATGGGCTGGGAAGGATCAGTGGTGGTGCTGCTGATCTTGCTGCTGCTTCAGTTCCTTGCACCCACCCACCCACCTCTTCCCCCTGGTTTCTTCAGCCCATCAAGTGGATGACCAGGATGATCTGACGGGCCTGCATGGCCTGGGTAGGAGCAACGCGCCAGATGGTGCAGGGAGGGCTATTGGTGCTACAGATGCCATGGGGAGGAGAATACCCACTCGCATCACCTTTCCCACTGCTGACGTCGATGCACCTCCTGCTCCTCCTCCTCCTGCTGCTGCTCCTGCTGCTCCTGCCACGAATGCTGTCCCTGCCGCCCCTACTGCTGCTGCTGTGAGTGCACCTGCTGGTGCCAGTGACAAAGCATCAGCTGTAGCAACACCAGGCAAGGGGGTTGAGGGTAGCAGCAGGAAGGAGAAGAAGGAGAAGAAGGGCAAGAACGCTCTGCCTGCCGCTGCTGCTGCCTCCCCTTCTGTGGCTACTGCAACTGCTCAGACTGCTGCTGCTGCAACGGCAGGAGGAGGCAGCAAGGAGGGAGGCGGATCTTCGCTAAAGCAGAGGTAAAGCAGCTTGCAGCCGTTCTGGTATTCACATTTCTAGAGAACTCTTGCACGTTTTGTCTGTTCCTTGCAAGTTGCACATGCACACTGCAGTTTCTTGCTGCTGCTGCTGCTGCCTGCTGTTATGTCAGTCTTCTCAACATGAACCAGCCACTACCGCCCTCTCTCCCATTCCCAGGCCAGCCTGCACTGTCGTTTCTCCCCCTGGCAGCAGTGGCTCATGTCCTCTCTGCTGCTGCAGCCGTCGCTACTCCCCCTTTCCTTGGATAGTCCAACCTTTTCCCCCCTTTTCACGCCTCTCGTCTTTCCCCCCTTTCCCAGGCCAGCCTGCACGGTGGTGTTTGGGGGCCTGTGATCCCCAGCAGCAGCAGTGCTGCAGGTCCTGTCCACAGCTGCGACCATGTGTTTGAAGAAGTGTTTTGAGACGTCTCAGGTGACTTTTGAGTCGACTCAAAAGTCAACTGTCCACAGCTGCTACCATGTGTTTGAAGAAGTGTTTTGAGACGTCTCAAAACACTTCTTCAACCAGTGCTGCAGGTCCTGTCCACAGCTGCTACCATCGCTGCTCCACAGGAGGTCATCAACCCTTTCTTCCCCGTACCACCTTGTTCGTTCCTCACTTCTATCTCCCAGGCCAGCCTGCACGGTGGTGTTCGGGCTCTCATCCCCAGCAGCGGTGGCCCATGTCCTCTCTGCCACCAGTGCTGTCGCTACCTTTGAGGAGGTTACGAACACCTCTCTTCTCCTCTCCACCTTGTCCCTCACTCCCTTCCCTTTCCCAGGCCAGCCCGCACGGTGGTGTTCGGAGGGCTCTCATCCGCGGAAGCTGTAACCCATGTCCTCTCTGCGGCTGCCGCCATTGCTACCCCTGAGGAGGTCACCAACCCTCTTCCAGAGGATGCCGTGAAGGAGAGAGGTGAGATTAGGGATGAGCAAGGTGGCGAACACCTGTTCGGTTCGCCTCGAACGTGTTCGAGGCGAACCGAACAGGTTTTGTTTTTTAGCTCAAATCGTTCGCCGAACAGTGTTCGTTCGATGTTCGCCCGAACACGTTCGTGTTCGGGCCGCTGCTGAAATTTGCCCGCGACGAACACGAATAGTGTTCGAGGTTCGCCCGAACACGCCTCCACAGGCGAACAGCGAACACCTGTTTTTTCCTAAACTGTTCGCCGAACCGAACAGTGTTCGGTTCGGCAAAAGAGGGTGTTCGACAAGGGGCGAAGACGAACATGTTGTGTTCGCCCTTTGCTCATCCCTAGGTGAGATTCGCTTGATCTATGATCGCAATCACCCTGCTTGCTGCCATCGCTGCTCCAGACCAGAGGACGGCACAAACCTGCTGCCAGAAGATACTCTCACGGAGGGAGGTGAGGCTAAATCTGATCTCACAATATTAAATTTGTACTCGACCCGTTATACTGCCTGCTTGCTTCCATTGCTGCTCCAGAGGACGTCACAAACCCGCTGCCAGAAGATGCTCTCATGGAGGGAGGTGAGACACCAATGTCCCCCATGTCGTCTTTTAATCTGACCCCAATCACTGACGGTGTAGACACCCCAGAGGTGGTCTCCAACCCATTGCCAGAAGAGGTTCTCAAGGAGAGGTGAGGGTTCTCAAGGAGAGGTGAGGGTTCTCAAGGAGAGGTGAGGGTTCTCAAGGAGAGGTGAGGGTTCTCAAGGAGAGGTGAGGGTTCTCAAGGAGAGGTGAGGGTTCTCAAGGAGAGGTGAGGGTTCTCAAGGAGAGGTGAGGGTTCTCAAGGAGAGGTGAGGGTTCTCAAGGAGAGGTGAGGGTTCTCAAGGAGAGGTGAGGGTTCTCAAGGAGAGGTGAGGGTTCTCAAGGAGAGGTGAGGGTTCTCAAGGAGAGGTGAGGGTTCTCAAGGAGAGGTGAGGGTTCTCAAGGAGAGGTGAGGGTTCTCAAGGAGAGGTGAGGGTTCTCAAGGAGAGGTGAGGGTTCTCAAGGAGAGGTGAGGGTTCTCAAGGAGAGGTGAGGGTTCTCAAGGAGAGGTGAGGGTTCTCAAGGAGAGGTGAGGGTTCTCAAGGAGAGGTGAGGGTTCTCAAGGAGAGGTGAGGGTTCTCAAGGAGAGGTGAGGGTTCTCAAGGAGAGGTGAGGGTTCTCAAGGAGAGGTGAGGGTTCTCAAGGAGAGGTGAGGGTTCTCAAGGAGAGGTGAGGGTTCTCAAGGAGAGGTGAGGGTTCTCAAGGAGAGGTGAGGGTTCTCAAGGAGAGGTGAGGGTTCTCAAGGAGAGGTGAGGGTTCTCAAGGAGAGGTGAGGGTTCTCAAGGAGAGGTGAGGGTTATCAAGGAGAGGTGAGGGTTCTCAAGGAGAGGTGAGGGTTCTCAAGGAGAGGTGAGGGTTCTCAAGGAGAGGTGATGGTTCTCAAGGAGAGGTGAGGGTTCTCAAGGAGAGGTGAGGGTTCTCAAGGAGAGGTGAGGGTTCTCAAGGAGAGGTGAGGGTTCTCAAGGATTCTGCCCTCCTTGTCCCCCTTTCTCCCATGCAGGTCTGGCCCTTGATGGCTGCACTCTCCCCGCCCTCTCTGTCATCTTCCCGTCGGTGCGCGCCGCCCGCCAGGCTGTGGCATCGCTGCACGGCTCTACGGTTGTGGGCGGCATAGTGGAGGGCGGCGCCGAGGCTGGTGGCTCGGAGCAGAGCGCTACTGTGTGGGCGAGGCAGCTGGGCGGCGAGGTGGGTGATTGGCTCGCAGGCTGAGAGAGGGAGCTGAGCTGTTGTGTGTGGGACTGGGACTGGCAGGTGATATGGTGGAGGTGGACAGAAGAGCCCTGATCCGTGGTCATGGGGCCACGGATCACGGCGCTCTTGTGTGGGCGAGCTGTCAGTCACGGACAGGTGGGCTGCAGAGGCCTTAATTTCATCAACTCATACGGTGCTTAGGATGACGAGACTCATTAGGAGCAGGGCGCTCTTGTGTGGGCGAGGCAGCTGGGAGGCGAGGTGGGTGAATGGGGAACAAGGTAAGAGGTGGGTTGCGTGGCTGTGAGACGGGCAAGCCATGGCCTTGCTGCACCCATGAGTGTACAGCAGGTAAGGGCGCCACGGCACGGCATGTGCACACGGAGCAGAGTGTCTCTGTGTGGCGAGGCAGTTGGAGGCGAGGTGGGTGGTTGACGGGCGAGGGTAGGGTGCATGGCTGTGAGACTGGTAGGCCATGGTGTTGGCTCACCCACGGGTGTATGTTGCAGAACGGATGCGTGCAGAGTATTTACTGTGTGGGCTGTGTGTGGGTCCCAAGAGTGGCAGGCGGTGCTGTGCTGTGGCAACCCAAAGACGTGGTTTGCATGATGCTGCGTGTCAGTGGTGGTGCATAGAAAGGTGGTGCGTTACCTTGTGTCTGCAGCGTTTCCTCTCGAATGGTCCTTCAATAAATATGCTTGATAAGTACAGCACACTAGTGATGCGTTACCTTGTGTCTGCAGCGCCTCCCCTCTGCCTCTCTTGTCAACCTCTTTTCTTTCTCGCCCAACCATGTCATTCTCATGTGTATGCATGCATGTGTGGTCATCTGTATGTGTATGGATGCATATTTGCAGGGTTCAAAGACCCTCAGCAATCGAGTCATCATTCGCAACCTGCCCTTCAAGGTGCGACCATTTCGTGCACAGCATGTTTCTGTTGCTCTTTGATCTTTTCCTTTGAGGTGCCTCAAATGTCGTGCCCAGCACAGCGGCTTGATAACTTTCGTTATCGTAAAGTACTTGTTGAAAGGTGTTGCCGTACTCGTTCGTCGTTGTCGTATTCAGCCACCTTTACTTAATATAGTCTGCCGTGCTAGTACACAATTTAAAAGTTGAGAAACTAGCTACGCACGTCTCAAAACCCAACTGCTTGCTTCCTTGTTTGTTCACTCACTCACCTTTGATACGGATGTGCACATGTTCTATTGCGAATGGGTGTCTGTTGTGTGCTGGGCAAATGTCGCGATGACAGGTGGCAGAAGCGGATTTGAGGAAGGCCTTTGCTGTTGCGGGCTTCCCATGGGCAATCAAGATACCACACGGGGAGGACGGCAGGTGAGAGGTGGTGCACGTGAGATGTGGAGCAGGCGAATGGATAACAAGCATGTGGGAGGAATACGGCAAGGTGAGAGGACGGCATGGGAGGCAAATGAGAGGTGAGCGGGTGGGCAGTGAGCGCTGGAGCAATAGCTGGTAGGTGGGTGGGTGGATGGGATCATGTGAGATGGATGATTTGCAGGTGGGCGCACGTGAGATAGTTTATACCTCAAAAAGGGTTGCGTCGCTTGTGTGCCCTTCTCTTATGAATAATCAATGCAGACCATTGCAAGTGCGGCACGGTTTTTTTAATTTTTTTTTTTAAATTTTTTTTTTTATTTTTATTAATAAAATATTTTAACTGATTGTTGTGGCTGTGTGTGAAGGAACGCATTTACTGCCTGAAAGGGCCTCCTGTGGTGCACCGCCAACTCTGTTCTTGAATCTCTTTGGCTCTTTTGAGACGTCTCAAAAACACCCTTCTTTCACGTGGCTAAATTTGTGCACCCTCCGGCCTCTGGATGATTGGATCTCGTTTGGCTGATCTCACTCACTCACTCCCTCGGTCCCTCTGCTCTGCTTCATTGCCCCCCTCCTCACTATGCATGGCAGGCCTCGTGGATTCGCTTTTGTCACATTCACTACAAAGAGCGATGCAGCAAAGGTGAAAGCCTGTCTTTTCCGTTTAAAGCACAAGCTCACAGACACACAACAACAGTCACATGGCAACCTGCTGACTTGACACAAAGACATCTGACAGCACAGGTACAACACCCATGAGCCACATCTCTTGTTTTCCCTTCCACGAGCCAATGATTTTTCAGGGAAATTACCTGGACATTCTATAAAGAGCGAATCCATCACGGCTGGCTTCAAATCACGGCTGGCTTCAAATCACGGCTGGCATCAAATCTTCTCATGTTTCCATCCTAGAAAAGTTTCACTTTTGAGGCGCCTCAAAAGTTGTTTCCATTTACTGAGGCTCCTAGAAAAGTTTCACTTTTGAGGCGCCTCAAAAGTTGTTTCCATCCATTTACTGAGGCTCCTAGAAAAGTTTCACTTTTGAGGCGCCTCAAAAGTTGTTTCCATCCATTTACTGAGGCTCCTAGAAAAGTTTCACTTTTGAGGCGCCTCAAAAGTTGTTTCCATCCATTTACTGAGGCTCCTAGAAAAGTTTCACTTTTGAGGCGCCTCAAAAGTTGTTTCCATTTACTGAGGCTCCTAGAAAAGTTTCACTTTTGAGGCGCCTCAAAAGTCATTTCCATTTACTGAGGCTCCTAGAAAAGACTTTTGAGGCGCCTCAAAAGTCGTTTACTGAGGCCCCTAGAAAAGACTTTTGAGGCGCCTCAAAAGTCATTTACTGAGGCTCCTAGAAAAGACTTTTGAGGCGCCTCAAAAGTCATTTACTGAGGCTCCTAGAAAAGACTTTTGAGGTGCCTCAAAAGTCATTTACTGAGGCTCCTAGAAAAGTTTCACTTTTGAGGCTCCTCAAAAGTCATTTACTGAGGCTCCTAGAAAAGACTTTTGAGGCGCCTCAAAAGTCGTTTACTGAGGCTCCTAGAAAAGACTTTTGAGGCGCCTCAAAAGTCATTTACTGAGGCTCCTAGAAAAGACTTTTGAGGCGCCTCAAAAGTCGTTTACTGAGGCTCCTAGAAAAGACTTTTGAGGCGCCTCAAAAGTCATTTACTGAGGCTCCTAGAAAAGACTTTTGAGGCGCCTCAAAAGTCATTTACTGAGGCTCCTAGAAAAGACTTTTGAGGCGCCTCAAAAGTCATTTACTGAGGCTCCTAGAAAAGACTTTTGAGGCGCCTCAAAAGTCATTTACTGAGGCTCCTAGAAAAGACTTTTGAGGCGCCTCAAAAGTCATTTACTGAGGCTCCTAGAAAAGACTTCTGAGGCGCCTCAAAAGTGATTTACTGAGGCTCCTAGAAAAGACTTTTGAGGCGCCTCAAAAGTCATTTACTGAGGCTCCTAGAAAAGACTTTTGAGGCGCCTCAAAAGTCATTTACTGAGGCTCCTAGAAAAGTTTCACCTTACGTCGTGACACCTCATCCCCTCACAGATGCAATTATTGAACACGACAGCCGGTCATGTCTCATCCAATCCAACACCAAAGCTGACAGGCGAACCAAACCGTCGAGGCTGACACAGCGTGTGAGCAGATGGGCAAGATAGCAGACAGCGTGTGAGCAGATGGGCAAGATAGCACCATACTTATTCAAGACGATCGCCTTGACACATTCTTCCCACTCACACATGATCTGGCGGGCAAGACAACACCATACGTTACGCCTCCACGTGTTCTTTTTCCCCCGTTGATCCAGAAGGCTAACGGTGCATGGGTTATTCAAAACCACCACCTCCATATGTTATCTTCACCCCTCGCTTCCTCCCTCCCCTCTCCTCCCCTCCCCCTTCCTCCCTTCTCCCGCACCTCCCCATTCATTTGGCAGGCATTCAAACAGTGAACGACAGGACCATCATGGGCTAACTGGCTGTGTTGTGGGATGGGCTCTTTGAATGTCCATTGCTGCATGGGATAGTCAAGCCCACCACCTTCTCACATCCTTTACCCCTTCCCCTTTTCCCGTCTTTCTTTCTTCTGGCAGGCTATTGAAAAGGTCAACGGCATGACCATCAACGGTCGATCCGTTTCGGTGGGATGGGCGGTGGCAAAGAGGGAGCACATGGAGAGTGTGGAGAAGGAGAAAGCCAAGGAGAACAGAGGTGGGACAGTTTGTGGAGATTAGGATGGAGTTTGTGTGTGTATGTGTGTGTGTGTGTGTGTGTGTGTGCGCGTGTGCGCGTGCGTGTGTGTGTGTGTGTGTGTGTGTGTGCGTGTGCGCGTGCGTGTGTGTGTGTGTGTGTGTGTGTGTGTGTGTGTGTGCGCGTGTGCGCGTGCGTGTGTGTGTGTGTGTGTGTGTGTGTGTGTGTGTGCGCGTGTGCGCGTGCGTGTGTGTGTGTGTGTGTGTGTGTGTGTGTGTGCGTGTACGTGCTTGTGAATGTGTGTTATGGTGTGCACCTGCTTTGCATTCAGCAACTCGCTTCATGATGAGTTGATCAATCACGTGTGAACGTATCAGTTGCTTCTCTCCTAGGTTTGATCATCTCCCTCCCTCTCTTGCACTTCCTTTTCTTCCCTTCCCCCTTGTGTTTCTGTGCTGTCAATGCTATTTGACGACGATGAGGATAAGGAGATGAGGATAATTCTGAACACATTTTTTTCCTGTGTTTTTGCATATTTATCTTTACCCGTTTGCTCTCTCGTTTCTCTAATCAGATGGTTTGTCAATGCTGTTTGATGATGATGATGATGATGATGAGGAGGAGATGAACGAGGGGGAGGAGGATAAGGAGGAAGCGGAAGATAAGGAAGATGAGGAGGAGGGAGAAGATGAGGAAGGGGAGGAGGAGGAGGATGAGGAAGAGGACGAGGAGGAAATGGAAGAAGAGGAAGAGGAGGAGGAGGACGAGAGGGAAGCAAGGGTGAATGGTCTATTGGATTTGGAAGCAGAGGAGGATGAAGAGGAGGAAGAGGAGGAAGAGGAGGAAGAGGAGGAAGAGGAGGAAGAGGAGGAAGAGGAGGAAGAAGGAAGTGAGAAGGAAGAGGATGAGGATGAGAGTGAGGAGGGAGAGGAGGACGAGGACGAGGAGGGGGGAGAGGAAGAAGAGGACGAGGAGGATGAAACAGATGATGAGGAGGAGGAGGTAGATTGGGAGATGGAGATGGGTGGTGGTGGCAGCAGTGGTGCCGTGCAAGGGAGTGAGAAGGATATGATGCTACGGGTGCTGTCCCGAGTGGTTGAGCAGGGGAAGGGGGAGGAGGGGAAGGAGGGCGCAGGGGAGGAAGAAGGGGTGAAAGCAAAAGGTGTGGTTGTGAAAGGTGGGAAGGAAGGGGATGCAGGAAAAAAGGGGAAGGAAGGGAAGGAGGCGAAAGAAGGAAAGGAAGCGAAGGGAAAGAAGGGTGACGCAGAGGATAAGGGGGCAGCAGGGAAGAAGACAGGCTCTCGTGATGGCAAGGAAGAAGAAATGGGTGCGGAGGAAGGCGAGGTGGCGAAGGATGGGAAGGAGGAGAAGGAAAAGGCGCCGCCAGCGACGGTGTTTGTGAGGAACTTGCCTGTGGATGCCTCAGCTGACCGCATTCGAGCGGCTTTTGAACGGTTCGGCAAGGTGGCTGACTGCAGAGTCGTGCTGCACCCGGTTACCAGGTGCGTTCCTCAACATGTGATCTAATAAAACTGACAACATGTACAGCTAAGTTGCGCGGTAGCAGGACAGTGTCTAGGTTGGGCACTCGTGTTCGGAAAGGCGGCTGATTGGCGCGCGTGGTGCTGTGCTGTACCCGTTTACCAGGTGTACGTTGCGTTGCTGTGACTGTACGAGTTTTGTTGCAAGCTGCGCAATGTGCCCCCCTGTTACAAGAGCAAGGGCAATGTGCCCCCCTGTTACAAGGGCAAGGGCAATGTGCCCCCCTGTTACAAGGTGCAAGCTCTACGAAACAGCATAAGTGCAACCGTCATCTTACTCTCCACTCTCCACTCCATGCACCCCACCACACCACCTGCTAAATCTCCCCAGGCGTCCCCGAGGCTCGGCATTCGTCCGGTTCGAAACGCCCGAAGCAGCGCAAGCCGCTGTGGCAGGCTCTGTCCGAGTCGCAAAGGCCAGGGCCGAGGCTGGGGAAGAGGGTCGGAAGGGAGGAGTGGAGGAGGGGATGGTGGTGGTGGGGGGGCAACAAGCCCTTGTTACTCTGGCAGTGCGACGGGAGGAGGTCTCGAAAGTGGTTGAGAAGAGGAAGCAGGCGGAGCAGACAGGCAAAGGGAGAGAGGAGGACAGAAGGAACCTTCACCTGCTGGAGGTGTGTAGGGAAGTGCAGTGGTTCTAAGGGTGCCTGGTTGTAGTAAATTGTGAAAGGTAAAGTACCGAACAGAAGCTGGATATTGATCAGTTAAATCAAAGAGGAAACCGATTTGTCAGGTCTCTTCCTTTTTCCTCTTCCTTACGTTGTGGCTTAATTTCCTACCTTCTTTCTCCTCCCTCGCATGGGGCCATGTGCTGCTTGACTTGACATTGCACGACATTCTGTTAACCTGCATGGCATGGCATCGTATGGGATGAGCTGCATGGCATAACAAAAATATCACATAACATGGCATCGCATGGTATGGGATGGTACGGAACTGAATCGATGGTATGGCATGGCGTGGCGTGGCATGGCATGGCGTGGCGTGGCATGGCATTACAGGAGGGGGTGATAAAGGAGGGTACACGAGCAGCGGAGGGGATGCCAGCAACAGACATGGAGAAGAGGAAGAGGTGGGTTGGGGAAAGAGGTGGGTTGGGAAATAGAGGGGGTTGGGGAAAGATGTGGGTTGGGAAATAGAGGGGGCTGGGGAAAGATGTGGGTTGGGAAATAGAGGGGTTGGGGAAAGATGTTGGTTGGGAAATAGAGGAGTTGGGGAAAGAGGTGGATTGGGGAAATAGATGGATTGGGGAAATAGATGGGTTCGATGAGATGAATGCGTTGACAGCAGAGGGAGATTCTTTTTGTTTATTTTTTCCAGCCCTGCTCATTGTGTTCAATTTACTGAATGCGTTCTAACTCAATCTGAGCACTCCCAAGTTTGTCGCATCGCTAATGTGGCTTTCGACATGGCGCGAAGGTCATTTTCTTGTTATCTTTTGTGCTCCTATCCCATCTTTTCCTATTCCAGGCTGCAACGTGAGAAGCTGATGAAACTAAAAAGCCCCAACTTCGCGGTGTTGTTGACGTGCCTGGCGGTGCACAACGTGCCTCAGGAGATGGGGAAGAAGCAGCTGAAGCTGAGAAGCTTCTGTAATTTCCACACATACATCCCCACGTGCCTTCCCCCATGCCTCCCCCAGGCTGCAGCGCGAGAAGCTGATGAAACTAAGGAGCCCCAACTTCTCTGTGTCGTTGACGCGCCTGGCGGTGCACAACGTGCCAAAAGAGATGGACGAGAAGCAGCTGAAGCAGGTGTTTGTGGATGCTGTTAAGGCGCGAGCCAAGAAGCAGAAGCCGCATGTGAAACATGTGAGGTGGTTGGGTGATTGGGCAATGAGATGATGGGTTAGGGCAGGGAGAGAAGCAGCTGAAGCAAGTGTTTGTGGATGTCGTGAAGGCACGAGCCAAGAAGCAGAAGCCACACGTGAAGCAGGTGAGACAGGGGGATGACGGGTGCATGGAGAATCCAAGCGGTAGAGGGGTGAATGGAGGAACGCGAGAAGCAGTTCAAGCAGGTGTTTGTGGAAGCTGTGAAGGCACGAGTCGTCAACCTTTCACAACCATCTTCCACCCCTCGTTTCCATAGTGAACCCTCTTCCATCGTCCTCCCTTTCACTAAGGGAGCAGCATTTGACCACCTTCTCGTATTCTAATTGCACTCCTTTCAACCGTTGTCCACCACTCCCTTTCATCATCCTCTCATTTCTGCAGGTGAAGGTGCTGAGGGAAACGGACCGGGTGGGGCCAGACGGCAAGAAAGAAAGGAACGATGTTTAACCTCTCTGTGCACTCCTTCCATTCAATTCGCACCCCTCTCTCTCTCTCTCATATCTGCAGGTGAAGGTGCTGAGGGAAACGGACCGGGTGGGGCCAGACGGCAAGAAAGAAAGGAACGATGTTTAACCTCTCTGTGCACTCCTTCCATTCAATTCGCACCCCTCTCTCTCTCTCTCATATCTGCAGGTGAAGGTGCTGAGGGAAGCAGACCGGGTGGGGCCAGACGGCAAGCCGAGGTCCAAGGGAGCGGCGTTCATTGAGTTCAGTGAGCACCAGCATGCTGTGGCGGCTCTCAGGGCGCTCAACAACCACCCCAGTGAGTGAAGTGTGGTGCAGTGCGGTGGTTTGCAGTGCAGTGCGGTGGTGTGCTGTTCTTGAGACGGCAAGCCGAGGTCCAAGGGCGCGGCGTTCATTGAGTTCAGTGAGCATCAGCACGCTGTGGCGGCTCTGAGGGCGCTCAACAACCATCCCAGTGAGTGCAGTGCGGTGCAGTGCGATGCTGTGCAGTGCAGTGCGATGGTTTGAGTGCAGTGCGGTGGTGTGCTGTTCTTGAGACGGCAATCACGGTCCAAGGGAGCGATGTTGATAGAGTTCAGTGAGCATCACCATGCGGTGGCGGCTCTGAGGGCGCTCAACAACCACCCCAGTGAGTGAAGTCTGGTGCGGTGCGGTGAAGTGCTGTGCAGTGCGGTGCTGTGCTGTTCATGAGACAGAGGCAAAGGGAAAGGCGTTCATTGAGTTTAGTGAGGCATGCGGTGGCAGCACTGAGGGCGCTCAACAACCATCCCAGTGAGTGCTGCGCTGTGCTGTGTGCTGCTCTGGGTTCTGTGTGGTGCTGACAGCAACTGCTAGATCCCTACTTCTCCTTCCACATCAGTTGCATGTGGATGGACGTTCCTTTCTTGCGCGTGCTCTTTTCCCCAATCACTCGCGTGTGCTTTTTTCTGTGCTTCTCCCTTACATCTGTCTGTTCCCTTCGCAACCATTTTCTCTTGCGATTGCAGCCTTTCTCCATGCTCCTCAACTTCATCCCCAGCTTCTTCTTACATCCCCAACTTCCATGCTCCTCCCATTCATTCCCCATGACCCCCCTGTTCAAGGCCCTCTACTCCCGTGACGAGCCCGCCCACAGTGGAGTTTTGCGATCTAGTGGCCATAGTGAAGCAGAGGCAGCACACTTCCACACCTCTCCTTTATTTCTGTGCCTTCCTCCCTTATCTATGCTTTTCCCTTGCATCCCTGGAGCCATCTTCTCTCGTGATGCTCGCCCCATAGTGGAGTTTGCGATTAAAAATGCCTCAATAGTGAAGCAGAGGCAGCACACGTACATGCCTCTCCATTGCACCCATGAGTCTCCCTTACATCTGTATTCCTTTCCTATTCTCATCATCCTTCTCTTGCAGCTATCTTCTCCCGTGATGCTCGCCCCATAGTGGAATTTGCCATCGAGAATGTATACATAATGAAGCAGAGGCACCACACGTCCATTCCCCCACCCCGTCATCCGTTTCCCTCCCTCACTTCCGTTCCCCTCCTTCATCCATGCCCCACCCGTACATTCTTGCAGCCATCTTCTCTCGTGATGCTCGCCCCATAGTGGAATTTGCCATCGAGAATGTATCCATCGTGAAGCAGAGGCAGCACACGGTGAGGCAGCAGAGCGACAGGCGGCAGGCAGTGCGGCAACAGCAGAAGCAGGAGAAGAGGCAGCAGCAGAAGCAGCAAGAAGCTGGTGCTGCTGGTCTGGGGAAAGCAAGGGGTGCAAAGAGAAAGCCTGAAGAGGGCGAGGCACCCTATGGTGGTGCCACGGAGGGGTCTCCAGTAAAGAAGAAGCAGAAGCAGGTGAAAGGAGCCAAGGGGAAGGGGCAGGGGAAGGACGTGAAGGGACAGGGGAAGGATGTGAAGGGGCCTGAGGGACCACTGGGGCAAGCAGGTGGGAAGGCGGGCGCTGCAGCAGAGCAGCAGAGGATTGGTGCAAAGACAGCTGGTACAACGGAACAGAGCGGATTGAGAGGCAGTGGGAAGGGCGAGTTAAAGAGGAAGCAGAAGGGTGGAGCAGGGAGCGCTGGCGTGTCTGCTGCTGCTGTAGTGAAAGCTGCTGGTGCTTTGTCTGCTGCTGCTATGAAGGCTTCTGGTGCCTCTCATGCTGCTGCATTGAGTCCTGGTGCTAAAAAGGCAAAGACAGAACCAAGGAGGGGAGCAGCAGCAGTGGCAATGAAAGCTGTTGCTACCTCCCCTGCTGCCGCAGTGACTCCCAGTTCTAAAAAAGCAAAGACAGACGCAAGGAGAGGAGAAGCAGCGGCTGCGGTAATGGAGGCTAGGCGGGCGCAAGCAGCAATGGCTGGGCTGGGGAGTGGAGGTGGTGGGGGAGAGAGGGGCAAGGTGAGGAGCAAGAAGGGGTCGGAGCACCAGGAGTTGGTGGATGAGCTTGATAGGCTCGTGGCGGCTTACAGATCAAAGAATTATGGGTGAGAGACTGTAAGGGAGGGAGGGAGAGAGGGGCAGAGCAAGAAGTAGGATCACCAGGAGCTGGTGAATGAACTTTATAGGCTCGTGGCTTCTTACAGCAAAGAACCAAGTGGTCTGATCTCTTATTTGATACAACATCCATAAGCTGGACTCAGAGGTGTAGCTATCTTGTCTATTGGGGGGTTGATGGGTGTACCTTCCAACCTCAATTTGTGGTTGGTGAATATTGGTCCTCAACCTTGGTCATTGGTTGGCATGTGCCAAACGTTGGTCCTTAGCTCCACCAATCCCAACCAGCTCACATTTTGTGGATGGTCCTTAGCTCCACCAATCCCAACCAGCTCACATTTTGTGGTTGCTTGGGCTATACAAGCAAGCTCACCGTGGGCCAACCTAGTGGCCAATAGAGTAAGCTTCCTTATCAATCTTCTCTTGCTCATTCTTTGTACCGTACTTGATATGAGTGCGGTGTGTGGGTTCCACAAACGAGCTGAAAGGCACTCAAGGTCGGAACTACAAAATGTCATCTGAAATGTGTACAAACGAGGCTAAATTAGGCAGAAACGTGATAGGCGAGGACCTCGGGCGAAACGAGGCTTGGGGCGGTGGCGAATGGTGCGGTGGCGCCTCAGGAGTGGTTCGGGGCGAAATTGTGGGCCGAACCCAACTGACACGAGACCCTCGGAATGGACCGTGGTCCGTGACCCTAATACCCGTAATAATCAAAAGGAAAATCAAAAGGAAAATGGAAATTGATAAGGTTAAGGTTGTGTAGGAGTCGGCGTGGTGTTGGATTGGAGCAGTGGAACTTGACGAAGAGCCTGCCAAACTTATAGCGGTGTCCACTGTCCGCTATTCTCTTTGCA